CTATATGGCAAACAACAATGATAATAATCATCAATTTATATGTGTGTATGTATGTAGATAAATGTTGAATGTAACTTTGTACGTATGTTTGTGTGTACACACGATTCAATGAATTTGGCCAAATTACATTAAAGAAAACTGTGTTTTGTTTTTGTTATTGTTTTTTTTTTTTTTTTTTTGGCGTTCGTTATACACTTTCGGTTGCAGTTGTAACCAGTACCAATCGCACCACCAATACCAATATCCACCGATGGCGGTAGTAGTAGTAGTAGTAGTTATAGTAGCTTGAAAGGTAACAACAACAACAGTGTCGAGATTTTTTTTGGTTGTTTTTTTTAAGTTTCTTGTAATTTTTAGTCACTTACTTTCGTATTGAAATATGTTACACTAGACTACAGGAATACAAAACAAAAACTAAATTTCTTTGAAAAAACGTTAAAGGCATCAGTTCACATTGAGAGATTTTTTTCCTATGCAAAAATTCCGACCTATCTATAGAGAATATAGAGAAAATATCTATAGTAAAAATCCGACCTCAGTTCCAAAATCAATATTTTGTTTAAAATAAATCACAGATCGCAGTACATCTGAAAAAAGTTATTTCTGTAGAAAAAACTTATTTTTTTAATTTTCTTTAAAAAAATCCTAGTCCTCGGTTTCAGATGAGAAGATGAGATGAGAAGATGAGAAGATTTTTTACAGAAAAAATACAGATCTGAGGTAATTTAGGTTATTTTTTAAGAATCGTGAGAAGGTAAAAAAATCACAGGCCACAATTCCACCGAACTTTTCATACACTCTACCATGATGATAGTGATTCAAAATATCTAAAATCAATCGGGACTTTTATATGGAGGCAATGTCATGGTAAATTGCTACCAGGAGGAAAATGGAAAATTGGGCTATGACCTCGAAAATGCAAAAAATGATGAGAATCCTTTGTATGGGGGCTATGTAGAGACCTTGAATTACTTGTTTGCCCATCTATCTACCATGACATTGCCATTAATAATGCTGTTATAGCTAAAAATCAATTAAAATTTATAATTTTCAGTAGGAAAACGGGTCCAAACTCCACGAACGGGTCCAAACTCCACTCTACCAAAAAGTGAACCGATATTGATAATTTCTATTAGGAAAATTTGACAGCTGATGAGAGTCCAAAATATAAAATTACAGACAATTTGGTTGAAAAATGTGCCTAAAATCCCCAAATTTTCGAAAATGGACAGGTACTGTTATATGTGGACTTCCCTTAATAATGGATCAATTTTTATAATTTTTTATAAGAAGGTTTGACACTTAATGAGAACCCAAAATACCAAATTTCAGCTAATTCGATTGAAAAACAAAATATTGAAATTTGGAAGGGGGCTACCCTAAAAAATTAACCAACCAATTCGGTTGAAAAACGTGTTCAAGTTCCCCCAAAATTTGGAAGGTACTGTTGTATGGGACCTATGCCAAAAAGTGGACCAATACAGATAATTTTTAGTAGGAAGATTCTCAACCTAATTAGAATCCAAAATATCAAAAATACAGCAAATTTCGTTGAAAAATGCGCCTATAATCCCGAAAATTGAAAATTTCGAAAATTGGGAGGTACCGTTATATGTGGACTTCCCTTAAAAATGAATCAATATTTATAATTTTTGATAAAAGGATTTGTCACTTAATGAGAACCCAAAATACCAAATTTCAGTCAAATCGGTTGAAAAACATGTCCAAGCTCCCCAAAATATTAAAATTTAGGAGATTCTGCTATAGGGTGGCTATCCTAAAAACTGAATTAATATAGATAATTTTTGGTAGCAATATTTGACGACCATTAAGAACCTAAAATATTAAAATGTTCCCAAAATACCGACATAAGTTGGGTTCCGCTATATAGAAGCTTTACCAAAATGTGGACCAATATATATATAATTTTTGGTAGGAAGATTGAGCACCGAAAGAGATTCCAAAATACATTATTACCATCCAATTCGGTCGAAAAACGTGTCTCCTAAAAAACGTGTCCCCTAAATACTGAAATTGGGAGGTACCGTTATTTGGGGGCTACACCAAAACTTGGGCCAACATTGATGATTTTTGATAGAAATCTTCCAATGATAACTCAAAATATCAAATTACAGCCAAATCGGTTGAAAATATGCTGAAAATACCGACATACGGGAGGTACCGTTATATGGGGGTTATATAAGACGTGGGTCGATATTGATCATTTTTGAAGAGAACCAATGAACCTCTGTTCTGAGGTATTTTTTTTTTATAGAAAATAATCCGATCTCAGTTCTGAGATATTTTTTCTATACCCGAACTCAGTTCTGACGTATATTTCTCTATGGAAAAAATCTGACCTCATTTTTGAAATATTTTTTATTTCCATAGGAAAAAAATCAGACCTCAGTTCTGAGGTCATTTTTTCTATAGAAAACACTCCGAACTCAGTTCTGAGGTCATTTTTTCTATAGAAAACACTCCGAACTCAGTTCTGAGGTCATTTTTTCTATAGAAAAAAAATCCGAACTCAGATCTGAGGTCATTTTTTCTATAGAAAAATATCCGAACTCAGATCTGAGTTATTTTGTTCTATAGATAAAAATCAGACCCCTGTTCTGCAGCAATTACTATACGAAAAATGTCCACCCTCATCTGAAATTGTATCACTGTGTAATTTTTTTATTATTAATTTTTCGTGGTATTAATTTTAATAACGTCACAAATTCACAAGTCTTCCATGGCAAAACAAAAACAAATTTAATTTAGTTTAAAAGAAGAGCCAACAAGAAAAAAATCACACAACCGAAATTATTGTTGCTTTTGTTTTTATTTGTCGATAGTTTAGCGAAGGGGTTTATGTTTCGGTTTTTTTGTTATTTTAAGTTAAAAACTAAGTTATCAAAACTTTCACCCAGTAAAAGGAAAAACTTGCAAAACGATGGACGAACAAACGATTTTCGTTTTTCAAACACCCAAAAAACGAGGTTTATTTATTTTTTAATCTTTTTTTGTTATAACAATTATTTAACAATTTTTTTATTGTTTTATTATTACTTCATTGTGGTCATGATTTAATTAAAACCTTTTTCTCGGTAATATTTTTTTGCAACTTTATTTTAATTTTCCATTTTCTCACTTTTTTTATATTTTTGCACTTAAAAATCCTCTTCATTAATTTTTTTCTTTTTTATATTTTATTTTGTATTTCTTAATTTGCCATATTATTTTTTATTTCTTTTAATTCGAATCTCTTTGTTTTACCCGCTAACTGCTGGTTCCTCTGTGTAAAGACGTTTAGCAACTGACTGCCGAATGCCGTTATGAGCCGCCAATAAGTCTTAACATTTTGCTATGGATTTTAAGTTTTGATTTTGGCCACATTCGTCTGTGTCTTTTTTAGCAGCCGCAGCAACAGAAGCAGTCAAGACGTTCGGTCGTTGATTCGTTGCTGCTGCCGCGATCGCGGTCGTGTAATTGCATAGCTTCCCCTGTTACAAACATACGTCGATACATATGACGCTGTTAAGCTACCAAATTGGGGGCTTTTGTATGTTATCTGTTTACCAATTTCATTCATTCGTTCATTCATAGCTTCAATAGTAATAGTTTTTATGGGCTACTAAAAATTCCTAAAGATCAGCTGCATGGTGCACGTTCCATTAACCCATTGAGGGTGGGCCAAGAGTTTTCATGGATAGTGGATTTTGTTTAACAGAAATAATTCTAATCTCCGTTCCAGCTGAGGTGAAAGGAGTATTTTAGACGAGCTGAAGAGTCTTTATAGACGAGCTCAAGAGAGTCTTTATAGACGAGCTGAAGGAAGTCTTTTTAGACGAGCTGAAGGGAGTCATTTTGGAATAGCCGAAGGGGGTCTTTTTCATAGACGGGCTGAAGCGAGTCTTTTTCATAGACGAGCAGAAGGGAGTCTTTTTCATAGACGAGCTGAAGGAAGTCTTTTTCATAGACGAGCTGAAGGGAGTCTTTTTCATAGACGAGCTGAAGGGAGTCTTTTTCATAGACGAGCTGAAAGGAGTCTTTTTCATAGACGAGCTGAAGGGAGTCTTTTTCATAGACGAGCTGAAGGGAGTTTTTTTCATAGACGAGCTGAAGAGAGTCTTTTTCATAGACGAGCCGAAGGGAGTCTTTGTCATAGACGAGCTGAAGGGAGTCTTTGTCATAGACGAGCTGAAGGGAGTCTATTTCATAGACATGCCTGAAGGGAGTCTTTTCATAGACGATCTGAAAGGATCAATATGAACAAGCCTGAAGGGAGTCACTTTCATAGACGAGCTGAAGGGAGTCACTTTCATAGACGTGCTGAAGGGAGTCTTTTCATAGACGGGCTGAAGGGAGTCTTTACAGACGAGATGAAGTCATTCTATATAGAAGATCTGAAGGGAGTATTTAAAAGCTAGATGAAGGGTCTTTATTGACTATCTGAAGGGAACGTATTTGTGAATCCACCTACCATAAATCCTTGGTTCTATTTGAGCTCATTTTGTTTTAATTAAACTTCAAAGCAATTCTTTTAAATGGATCATTTAAGACATAATCAAAAATACTACGTATAATTGTTCATTTAGCTTTTATTATTATTTTTTATAGTATATATTTATGTATTCATAAAATATAATCATATTGTATATTTATATAATAATGCTTTATAATTAATATATATTTATAATCAAAAGAATGAACACGTCTATGATTTTTCTTGTAAATAAAAAAATAATGGTGTCTGCATAACTAAAATTATGGAATACAATTTGCTTTTTTATAAAAATAAAAAATACATTTTTTTGTGTTTTATACATACATAGTAAGTATAATTGTACAATTATTTATAGAGTAGGTAAAAATAATAATCTGCTAACTTTTTAATTTCTTTGATGTGATACGATAATGTACGATCAATTGTAATAATCGATTTGATGATTTATGGACTATATAGTAGTTGCTTATACCTGAACTTTTGTTGGATTAACCTGATTTCGAAAAAGGAAATATCAAATCAGCTTAGAGAGGACGACGTGAAGATTGTCGTAGACTTTTTTCAATTTCAAATTGTCGTAAATCAGTACGTTGCAAGAAGTCTTGACGTTCCAAGTACCTGGAAAAAAGAAAAACAATAAAATATAATTTAGTAAAAAAACATTTTAGACACAAAAAAATCTATGGTATTCTTTAATAAAGCTACCCTTAAAAATATTTTTCTTAATCGACGAGTTGGAGAAAGGGAGTCTTTATAGACGAGCTGAAGGGAGTCTTTATAGACGAGCTGAAGGGAGTCTTTATAGCCGAGCTGAAGGGAGTCTTTATAGACGAGCTGAAGGGAGTCTTTATAGACGAGCTGAAGGGAGTCTTTATAGACGAGCTGAAGGGAGTCTTTATAGACGAGCTGAAGGGAGTCTTTATAGACGAGCTGAAGGGAGTCTTTATAGACGAGCTGAAGGGAGTCTTTATAGACGAGCTGAAGGGAGTCTTTATAGACGAGCTGAAGGGAGTCTTTATAGACGAGCTGAAGGGAGTCTTTAGACGAGCTGAAGGGAGTCTTTATAGACGAGATGAAGGGAGTCTTTATAGACGAGCTGAAGGGAGTCTTTATAGACGAGCTGAATGGAGTCTTTATAGACGAGCTGAATGGAGTCTTTATAGACGAGCTGAATGGAGTCTTTATAGACGAGCTGAATGGAGTCTTTATATCCGAGCTGATGGGAGTCTTTATAGATTAATATATCTTTATAGACGAGCTGAAGGGAGTCTTTATAGACGAGCTAAGGGAGTCTTTATAGACGAGCTAAGGGAGTCTTTATAGACGAGCTAAGGGAGTCTTTATAGACGAGCTAAGGGAGTCTTTATAGACGAGCTAAGGGAGTCTTTATAGACGAGCTGAAGGGAGTCTTTATAGACGAGCTGAAGGGAGTCTTTATAGACGAGCTGAAGGGAGACTTTATAGACGAGCTGAAGGGAGACTTTATAACGAGCTGAAGGGAGTCTTTATAGACGAGCTGACGGGAGTCTTTATAGACGAGCTGAAGGGAGTCTTTATAGACGAGCTGATGTGTGTCTTTATAGACGAGCTGAAGGGAGTCTTTATAGACGAGCTGAAGGGAGTCTTTATAGACGAGCTGAAGGGAGTCTTTATAGACGAGCTGAAGGGAGTCTTTATAGACGAGCTGAAGGGAGTCTTTATAGACGAGCTGAAGGGAGTCTTTATAGACGAGCTCAAGGGAGTCTTTATAGACGAGCTGAAGGGAGTCTTTATAGACGAGCTGAAGGGAGTCTTTATAGACGAGCTGAAGGGAGTCTTTATAGACGAGCTCAAGGGAGTCTTTATAGACGAGCTGAAGGGAGTCTTTATAGACGAGCTGAAGGGAGTCTTTATAGACGAGCTGAAGGTAGTCCTTTCATAGACGAACTGAAGGGAGTCTTTTCATAGACGAACTGAAGGGAGTCTTTTCATAGACGAACTGAAGGGAGTCTTTTCATAGACGAACTGAAGGGAGTCTTTTCATAGACGAACTGAAGGGAGTCTTTTCATAGACGAACTGAAGGGAGTCTTTTCATAGACGAACTGAAGGGAGTCTTTTCATAGACGAACTGAAGGGAGTCTTTTCATAGACGAACTGAAGGGAGTCTTTTCATAGACGAACTGAAGGGAGTCTTTTCATAGACGAACTGAAGGGAGTCTTCATAGACGAACTGAAGGGAGTCTTTTCATAGACGAACTGAAGGGAGTCTTTTTAGACGAGCTGAATGGAGTCTTTTTAGACGAGCCGAAGGGAGTCTTTTTAGACGAGCTGAATGGAGTCTTTTTAGACGAGCTGAAGATAGTTTTATAGAGGAGCTGAAGGGAATCTTTATTGTCATACTGAAGGGAGTATTTATAGACGAGCATAAAGACAATTAAAGGGCCTTATTATAGACGTGAGTATATTTAAAATAAACTAAAGGGAGTCTTTTCATAAAAGGACTGAAGGGAGTATTTTATATAGACATGCTGAAGGAAGGCAGCCTTTTAAAAGACAAGTTAAAGGCAGTCTGTTCAATGGCAGCTCAAGGGAGTCTTTACGAGCTGAAGGGAGTCTTTACAGACGAGCTGAAGGGAGTCTTTACAGACGAGCTGAAGGGAGTCTTTACAGACGAGCTGAAGGGAGTCTTTACAGACGAGCTGAAGGGAGTCTTTACAGACGAGCTGAAGGGAGTCTTTATAGACGAGCTCAAGGGAGTGTTTATGGACGAGCTGAAAGGAGTGTTTATAGAAGAGCTCAAGGGAGTCTTTATAGAAGAGCTCAAGGGAGTCTTTATAGAAGAGCTTGAGGGAGTCTTTATAGAAGAGCTGGAGGGAGTCTTTAAGGAAGAGTTGGAGGAAGTCTTTATAGGAGAGCTGGAGGAAGTCTTTATAGGAGAGCAGGAGGGAGTCTTTATAGAAGAGTTGGAGGGAGTCTCTATAGAAGAGGAAGTCTTTATGTACGAGCTGAAGGAAATCTTTATAGTCGAGTCTATATATAGACGAGCTGAAGGCAGCCTTTATATAGACGAACAGTAAAGAATCTTCTCATAGATGAACTGGAGGGATGCCTTTTATAGACGGCCTGAATTTCATAAACGAGGTACAGGGCATTTTTTTCAAAGATAGCTGAAGCAAATCTAAAAAACTTCTAAAAAATCTACTAAAAAACTAAATTCGTCTTCTTATAGAAAATACTTGGTCCTCAGGGCCTCAAAACTTTAGAAGAAACAATTACTTACCCATCTTTACCCTTATTAAAGGTCTGCAGCTCCTCCTCAATACCCTCTTCGGATTTGAAACTTTTCCAATCCATTTGAGATTTTTCCAAAACGGATAGTTTCTTTTTCTTGCCAATTTGATTGAGTAGGGAACCAATACCACCACCTGAAGTACCTGAACCTGCTGGCCGCTTTATGCCAGCTCCTGGCATAATACGTCCAAATGGCTGCATTTTAGGTGCCGCTGTGACCACAGCTTGATTTTCTTTAATACTCGAAGCATCCACCTCCTTTTGTATGCGTACCTCTTCACCCGCAAAATCTAATACCTCGGTGACAGTGACTTTCTTCTTCGGTGGTTCGTCTTTGGTTGATTCCACAGTTTTTACTGTTGTCGACGACGACGATGATGACTCTTTTGAATTATTGTCATCATCTTTCTTGGTTTTTGTTTCACCATTTGAGGAACTAGAATTTTCTTCGACTTTTGTTGCCGAACCATTTGTGGTGGTCTTTGTCACCTTTGCCGGATTGACATCTTTCAAAAAATCTGCCCACAGTGAATTTGTCCTTGATTTATCCTCCTCATCCGATTCCAATGTGTCTTTTTCAATTACTTTTTTACCATTTGTTAGGTCACCATCGGTTTGTCGGGTACATCTGCGCGATGCTTGATTAACAGTCTCATCTTCATACTCCTCATCATCATCGGAATTGTTATCCTTTTTATTCCTCTTATTTTTACTTTGCCTCTTTGTTAGTCGTTTACCCTTCTTTCTGACATTCTTCTGGGTTTTACTAGGCTCGGCATCAGCTTCATTGTCATTATCTCCTTCCACCACAGAATCCTCACCATTGGATTCTTCTTCACTAACCGAATCGCAGCCGGCATCTGGACGGAAATCTTCATCACTTTCATCCGAATCGGAAGCATAATCTTTCTCTTTTTCCATTTTTTATTAAATACTTGCAGCTACTAGCGTCCTTTGGGCGAAAATTTAAGTCCTAATGAAAAATTTAACCTTGTTCGGGCCAACCTTCTTGCTCGCTTGTTCTAGTCTTTTTCACCGACTGAAGAAAAATTGAAAAACGTTCCACATGTTAACGAATGGGAGAAGACAAAATGCCTGATAAAGATGAACTCAAAGTGGTATAAACGAACGAATGAGGTGCGATGGAGACTAAATGAGAACCGTATTGTTTTCAATTCAACACATACACTCACATCATCTGCAGTCAGAGAACCGAGCCATACTGAAATGTTAATGTGTGACGGCGTTGTTATATGCATGTTGACGACGCAGAAGTTTGCTGACATAAAACGATCAGCTGTTTAAGGTGTGACAATTTAAAAATTTGGGTTTGGAATGTAATTGATTATAAATTAAATTGCATTAGTCGGCATAAGTTGAAAATCGACTTTGAGCAAGTGGAATAAAATCGAATGACGCAAAATTCAACTTTATATTCAGAGGCGAAAATCGAAAAGTCGAATTTTACTCTAGACTACGCGCCTATTTAACCTCCGGCTTATAGTACAATGCTGTCAATAGAAGAAATCGGCGTTACACAAGGCTTTTGGTGTTGCCACACTAGTTATAATGATGTGATACTAAACAAGTGTAACACAATTTATATATAGCAAAATAAATCACGCACTTAATCTCGTGCAATTATTAAACCATATTTATATTAAAGCATATACTACCGTTTATACGAAAAGTTATTTTGTAATATAATTTTGCAAAAATTTGATTAATGTATCCCTTTTTGACTATTTGAAGTCTATATGGAAGAGTCAAAGTAAATTGTTTTATAGATGCGATGAAGGGATCCTTTCATAGATGAACTAACAGAAGGGTTTTCATAAGCGAGCTGAAGATCGACATTTCATAGACGAGTTGAAAGCATATACGTACTGAATGCAATTTTTATGTACAAGCTGAAAGTATACATTTCAAGGTAATTTCATAGACGAGCTAAATATTGTCTTTTCATTCACTGTCTGATGGAGTTCTCATAGGGCGAGCTTAAGGGAGTCTTTTCATATACAGATGAAGCGATTCTTTTCATAGACGAGATGAATATAGTCTTTTCATTCACTTACTGAGGGAGTCTTTTATAGGGCGAACTAAAGGGAGACTTTCATTAAATTGAAGGACAGATGAAAAACTCTGCTGCTGTCTAAAGTAGGGTATTCTCGTCGATAACGCCCATGCGGAGAAGGCATGAAAATACATCATGTTTAAGTTCGCAGAGCGGTAGTCTGTCAGTTTTCGACTTACAGGTATTCTTGCCTGAGCCCAGAGGACCTCAGGGCTTGTTTCTACTTCACATCCTATCGTCCGTTTCCTTCTTACCGTCACAATAGTGATTGCATAAGGTTAAACTTTTAATAGATTGCTAATTAGGTTGAAAATTGGATCCAAAATAAATTGGATCAACCGAATTGGCTGTAATTTAAATCTTTAAATTATCATACTAGTCGAATTTTCAAAACGAAATGATTCTTGGAACATTGAACGTTATAGCGCCGTGTAGCCCCTATATAGCGATATCTTCACATTTTCGATTTCTTGAAGGATTTTGAAGCAATTTCCCAATCATAGGGTCTGATTACATTCTGGGTTCTTCGAAGGAGGAAAAATTATACAAATAATTGTAAATATGAGCCCATGCGATTGTTATTGACCATCGAAAAAATATTTTTTACAAATCCATAAATCATAACACCAGAGCTTTAGCTATATAAAAAAAACCATATTTATAAAAAATCGGAACTTTTCAAATTATTTTGTACTCTGAGAGCAATTTAAAAAATGTTCCCTTTTACTACCTTTACTATATTAATAAAATTCGATGTTGATGAAAACACGCCGTTATTCCAATGTCTCGTCTATTCGCACCGTAATGTGGCAACCTCACAACTCAGCTGTTTTTGAACAAACACCATATCGATCTGTAGACACCTTGTGGCCTTCCTTTCAGTTTTGTCATTTTGTTTTGATTTTCACATTTATCAGCCTTTTTATCGATCTTCTTGTCATTCTTGCTTGCTTTTCAGTAGAAGGCGTCAGAAAAATTAATTATATTTTGCAAAACAATGCAATAAATTTAGTAAAAATATTTTGCTGGTGCACGAAATAGAATACAAAAAAACGAAACGAATAAACCCCAATAAACGACGACAAATGGTATATATGGAAATAACTTAGTGTCAAATTATAAAGCAAGCAAAACCCCTAAAATACTAGATAAACAAAAAGCAATAACAACCAAATAGTCAATCAAATAAATTTATTTAGAAGAAAAAAAAAATAGAGCAGAACTACTACTTCGCTATACACAATAGAAGGCTAGCAAGCGAACAAGGCTATGACAAACTACCAAGGCCATTTTTACAAAGGACTAAAAACCATATAACTGGTTGGCGTTTAGGTATGGACAATTGGAATTATGTCCCCTAATTGTTAGTTATTCCCTCTGTCCCCTTATCACACACTCTTACAGATCAATACAATCATCATTTGTAATAATGCAAAGAAGGCTACTGTATACAACAACGACGACTCATCATAAGGCAAAACAACAACTGAGGGCTTATCAATCCAAGAAGACGAATGTATTAGCGGCGGCGGCGTCCTCATTAAGACGAGATAGTAAAGCATTATTGGAAATCAGTGATTATAGCAGCAGCAGCATACGACGGCATTTTGTGGAAACAACCATTTGATTAGAGATACCCAAGACATCGCGAGGCAAGTCATTGAAACTAACACTATATCCTCAACAACAACAACCATTTCCTATTGTGATATTCAACATTCTACAAACTAGTAAAATCTAAATTTAAGTGCAATCAGGAACGAACCCCCGAACAGCATCAACATTATACGACAATTGTTAAAAGGTTCCGTACTCCGAATACTGGCTGTTACCTCTCTTACATTAAGCCTCTCCTCGTCGTCATCTTTAACCGCCAAACTGTTGTCATTATTTCTAACATCCGCGGAGACGGGAGGATTCCCCGCCAGTGGTGGTAGGCGATTTTCTGCATTCGTCATGTCGGCCATCGATGATGATGAATTGGACACAATTGCCGATGTTATGGGTTTGCGATCGCAGAGTCGTCTCGATAATTTCCGTGAAATGTGGTATCATATATTTCTGTGGGCACTGTTTTCATCGATATTTATACACACATGTGCCGCGCTGGTGGCGTTTGTAACGCTGCGTAAACATAAATTCGGTCGTTTCTTTTCAATATTAATTTTGGTCATGGGCTTCCTGTCGCCAGCATTAAGTGGTATAATAAGCAGTGCGGTTATAGCATTTGTACATCGTGCCTCTAGCCTGCCCATGTCACCGATATATGCAATGGTATGGGGCGTGGGACAGACAGTAGTTTCGGCGTGTTTGGGTTTTACACGCATATTGGCTACATTGTAAAAAACACACACACAACAACAACCAAACAAAAATCACTACAAACAGATAAAATCATTTACATTTATAAGTGTCACATTATACATACATATATATAAATAAGTCATAATCATCATCATTCATAGTCCTACTCGATTCATATGGACAGCGATAGAGATGTGTTCTGTTTTAAAAATATTATACACCGCTATAAATATTGTATTACAAAATAATCGTCTGATCCGAGCATTATACATTAGGAAAACATCTGTAGATGTTTTAAAAATATTCTACACCACTATAAAATAGGGGGACAGAAACCTTTAAGATTGTTACCCGATTTCGATGGGAATTCTTTTATAGGAGCGGCGACAGATTCCTTCTCTACATTTGGTTCGGTAAGTGGTTGAGATGATTGTGCTCTTGGAACTGAGGGTTCGAAAAGGACATCAATGTCTCCTAGCAAATATATTTTGAGAGGTGACTTGATTTGATCCTGACGACATTTCCGATGCTTGACGTATTCTTGCTCGTTTGGATTGAGAATCATGTTACTTAACAATCGTCTGATCCGAGCAACATCCATTAGGAAAACATTATGATAATCCATTAGGATAACCATTTTTATTTCAATTTACTTTTTTTTGGTTTCTTTGAAAAAAATTGTCCAATATGAATTGATTTCAAGGAAATCGATTCCGATATTGCATTTAATGTCAGATAAATTGCTTTATTTCAATATATTTTAAAATTTATTATTACATAGTGATATAAAGTGAGACTCCCGTCGTTGCCGATCGTAAACACCACTGTAGTGAAAACGACTCCAAACAAATTTGTACCGACTCTATATTTTGTATCAAAGAAAGTGGTGTAGAATATCACATTTAGTCGGTTCGCCAGACTTTCTTTGTCATGTTTATCTTCCTAATTTCTTTTGTCTATTTGTAAAACTTTTGTAAAAAATTCTCCTTGTTTTGTTTGCCTTCTCTCCTATCTCATTTAGATTAAGTAGAAAAAATACCCATATAATCGTTCTAAAATGTGTACGCGCATTCGGAATTTGTAATTCCATTCGAAAAAAAAATAAAAATAATAATTTTTACCAGTAAAAATTAAAAAAATTACTGGTGTGATTTGGGAACCATAGATGTAGGATTTTGGAAGCTTACATTTTTTTAGAAATTCAATTTTTAATATATTTTAAGTAAATTCGACAGTGGAGGTCACACATAAAATTAACAATTTAAGGATATACTTTTAGGAGGGTCTTGAGAAAAAATTAACTAATCATTTCCATAATCACAATTGATATTCGAAGACATAATCTGAGTGACACTCGACACTAATTTAAAAAATTCTAATAATTTCGACTGACTTAGAAAAAAATTATCAATTAAAAAATTGGCACATACCCGCGAACGACCTATAATTACATAAAATACATATATAAAATATCCATCGACATATAAATCATAATCCTAGTACATACTTATATAGCGAAAAACCAAAAGCCAAAAATAATCATTAAAAAAAACGAGCCATTGTAAACCATAACGACAAAATATCAACATAAGATCTTTAATCACGAATTACCGCCACCCCCTACCTATTATACATAGACACAATCATCAAATTTAATTGATGCGTATACATATAATTAGAATTCTAAAATAATAAATAAAATATCAATAATAATAAAACAAACAAAAACATCAATAAACAAAATATAAATTAGAATAAATTAATACAAAATTAGTTTTATTTGCAAAACCAGCCTTAGTGATTGATATTAAGGACCAACAGACCTTCTCACAATAAATTTGGCATTTTTATGGTGGACATCAAGCCACCATGCAATCATGGTGGCTTGAGAATTTTTTTTTCTATACAAAAAACAAACAGTCATGAGAATTTTTTATGAAAACATAGCAATCTTGATGGCCTGGGAATTTTTTCTATAGGGGTTCTGAGAATTTATTCTGTCCGTTCTGCGGATTTTTTCTATATAAAAATTTCAGTCCTACGGGCCTTTCAGATTTTCGTAAATAACTATTTGGTCTAGAATTATCGACTTTTTCTATAAAAAATGTATCTTCATTCTTAAAGACCATTTCCAAATTTTTCAATTAAATCAATGTATTTGGATCGGTCGCAGTATAAAGCATATATAATTTATAAGCCAAGACATTACCAATACGACGATCTGTCTGCAATACCTTTGGACCGGAACGTTTTATTTTCAAATCACCAATTTCTTTAACAGCATCGGGATTATTTTTCAAATCCGCTATCAACAGTTTAGGGCATGGATAACGTTCAATTATTGTCTCAGCCACTTCCAGAGTGACCAAAGGCAGACGATTTAAATGCTGCTGCCACAAACGACCAAAACCATTTGTACCCTCAACTCGTACACACTGTTTTTTATCGTTGGCCAAGAATTTCTTAAATGTTTCCATTGTTTCGGATTTTTGCTGTTTATACGGAGCCTCTGCTATCGCCTTATTTAAACGTTTCAATTCACTAACCAAACCTTTGGCATAATTCGGAATTTCCAAAACATGTAATTGATGCATTACCTGTAGTTCCAGCAAGGCATTGGTTTCTGCATTACCATGTTTACCACCACCATCATTGGATAGATACGCAACAATATATTGCATATTTGGATATTTTGTTGTTAAATCATCTGACAAGTGTTCAAGATTTTTATTCCGGATCAGCAGCTGAAGTTCTTCATGGCATAATAATTTGAGAACTTGTTTTTCTCGTTGCCATTCTTCGGATAATGGGGCATCACCAAATGCCAATGTTAATTGGCCAACACTACGTTCCCATATAATAGATTCCTTGAGGGGTAGGTTCCGGATTTCATATTTCAAATCTCCACTGGCCACAGCATTATTTAATTCGATGATCAATTCACGACCATAAGGTGCCGACATAATGCGACTATCGATTACTAATCGCACATATTTTTGACATTCTCCTGGTTTAATCCGCTTCAATTGATCACGAATATTTTTCTTACGAATCTTTTCGCTTTTATTGTCCATTTTTTTGAGAATTATTTGATTATAAATGTGTTATTTTGTGGATAAATCATTTGGCGCCAAATGAGAATAGCAAAGTTGCTTTGACAAATGCAACGCCGCCATAATAATGCAAATCACTGATGAATGATAACACGACGTTTAATGCTCTCCATTCACCTGAGATGAAGTAGTGAATAAAGCATCATTTTTAGGATTTTTTTCTAAAAATATATCCTCATTCAATTTCCAAGGCTCAGGAATGAAATTTTTACTATATAAAGCAATTTTGTACGATCGCTGAACTGATAGTTTTTTTTTGTAAATCTCAAGCCCCAGAAATAATAGCTTTCCCTATAGAAAAAAATCTCTGTACTCCCAAGAATGACAGTTTTTCAATAGAAACGAAATTTCAGCCGACAATAACTGTTAAAAATTGACCACCTGATACAAATCTTGGTTTTAAGTACACAAATCCATAAACAAAAGTCATTTAACAAATTTTTTGTAAAAAAATTTAAACCCAAAATTTTAATTATTTCAATATAAGAAAAAATTGTCTTAAACCTCTTTCAAAATAAACGGCTCATATAATATTTCTTTTTTTTTGTCTATAGAAAAAATTCACAGGCCCCAAAAATTGCGACTTTTTTACGGGCCCCCTTGACAGGTTTTTTCGCATTCCCTCCAGAATTTATAGTGTTTTCTATATGTTTTCTAGTTTTTATAGTGTTTTCTATATAAAGAATTCATAGGCTCCCTGGACAGAGTGTTTTATCCAAAATTTTCGCAGATCCCCATGAGTTACAATCTTTTATATAGAAAAAATTCGCTGGCTCCACGAATTGTTTTATATGCAAAAATTATATCGAATGATGAGATCCAGATCGAGTCAACATCTGTTTTTTCCACCTCGCCCATTCACACCATTCGTAAACAGCATAGGTTTTCGTCTCGTTTCCTTTATCTTCTTATTCATAACAATCAATGTCTATGAATTCTTTAACACTTTTCATTCATAACTAATCTAGATCCGTTGCTCATTTCAGTGAATCCTTCAATTGAACCACATAACATTAACCTACACGTGCGGTACGGCGGTCATTGATTGAATTGTTTAACAAATAATAACTAACAGAATATTTTGATTTAAAAGCCGACAAGATCAAAACAATGAGTGTGGAGAATATTTACACTTCGATTGCGTGTAATCGAACCACCGAAAGTGCCGACTGGGGCAATAATGGTTTCATTGTTTTTGGGGCTTGTAATGCGGTGGCCATTTACGACCCAAAGGTAAACGATAAGAAAACATTGTATTTTTTGAAGCTTAAATACATTTTTATATTCCCCACAGATCAATGGAGTTTCGGCAAAGATAACCCATACATTTGTCAAGCATACAAAACGGGTAAACACTGTCCGCTGGCTAAAGAGCTTCGGCGAAGAAAAAGAAACCCTATTCCTTTCGGGATCAGATGATAAATTGGCAATTTTATGGGACTATACAAACCCCGATGATGTTAAAAATTTTGAACTTAAAGGCCATGAAAGTGGAGTAAATGCCGTGGATGGTGTGCAACGTCAAAATGGAGAATGGATTTTTGCCACTGCCGCTGCGGATTCCACAATCAAAATATGGTCATTCCGTCTAGGCTCAGAAACCTTACCCGAATGTAAACAAACAATTCAATTGAACACCGGATTTTGTTTCACTTTACGCCTATCCTTGCTACCAAAGTCCGAACAAATTCTATTGGCATTCTCTGTGGATGATGAAACTGTTGCTTTGTGGTCTGAAGCAGAAAGTGATCTGCTAACCTTTCAACCATTACACAAACTATTGGGTCATGAAGATTGGGTACGCGGTTTAGATTTTGTCCGCGAAGGTGATGATTTGTTATTGGCCAGTTCATCGCAAGATAATTTCATACGTCTGTGGCGTATTGCACCACGCAGTGCTGAACAGGTGACCAATAATAAAGTGGACATTTTCAATTTGTTGGATGAATCCACGGGAGAGATACGGGTAGAAGAGAAAATTGTACAAGTCTCCTCCAGTTCATGGTATGCCATTAGTTTGGAATCCGTATTGTTTGGTCATGACAATTGGGTATATGGTGTCCACTGGCACAAATCGCCGGATAATACTTTAAGTCTGCTCTCAGCATCCATTGATAAGACGCTCATCCTTTGGCAGCCCTCGGATGAAAGTGGCATTTGGATGGAAAAAGTTCGTTTGGGTGAAGTTGGTGGTAATTCCCTGGGTTTCTTTGGTGGTAAATTTCGTAGTGATGGCAAAGCCATATTGGGCCACAGCTATCAGGGTGGTTTCCATATGTGGCAACAAAGTGAAGACAATGAACATATTTGGGTGCCTCAAGTAATTGTCGGTGGTCATTTTGGTGAGGTACGTGATCTTGCCTGGGAACCACAAGGAGAATATTTGATGTCCGTCTCTGCGGATCAGACAACACGTATACATGCACCATGGCGTTCAGCAGGGAGTGATTTCGAAACATGGCATGAATTAGCTCGGCCTCAAGTTCATGGTTATGATATGCAGGCATTGGCCTTGTTGACACGCTATAAATTCGCCAGTGGAGCAGAAGAAAAGATTGTGAGGACTTTCCAGGCATCGGCTAATTTCATTGAGAATTTTAGACGTATTACAAAGGTGGCAAATGATGAGGAGGGTGATACTTTGTTGGAGTGTAAGTAATTTATATTAAAAATAAGATTTCAATTAGATTTTCTATAAAAAATCAGAAGATTAAAAAATCAGACCTCAGACTTATCTGAGGATATTTTTTATAGAAAATCAGAATTCAAACATATTCAAGGAATATTTTCTATATTAGATCTCATGCATATCTGAGAAATAAATTTTTCCTACAGAATCAAAATCTGACTTCATGTGTATCTAAGGATTTTTTTCTATACAAAAAATTATACATCAGACGTATGTATGTGAGTTTTTTTTTCTATAGAAAAAAATCAGTGCATTTTAGGTAATCTGACTTCATAGAACAAAATCAGTCCTATACAAAAAATCAGACCTCAGACACATCTGAGGATTTTTTTCTATAAAAAACATCAGACTTATGTAAATTTTTTTTCTATAACTTCAGACTATTTTGAGAACTATTTTTAAAGAAAAAAAACGACCTCAGACGTGAGGAATTTTTCTTTTTATAGAAAAATCTCATATGAGACGTATGTATGTGAGGAAAAAAAAGTGCATTTTTTTAGAACAAAATATAAAAAAAATCTCAGACACATCTGAGGATTTTTTCTATAAAAACATCAGACTTATGTAATTTTTTTCTATAAAAAGGTCCGACTTCAGACGAACTTTTTTTTTAAAGAAAAAAACCGACCTCAGACGTGAGGAATTTTTTTATAGAAAAATCTCATATGAGGATTTTTTCTATATAAAAAATTAGACCTCAGAGGAGTGTGAGAATTTTTTTCTATGGGAAAAATGACCTGAGGTTTTTTGAATATTATTTCTATTTCTGAAAAAAAAAAATTATTTAAAAATTGGATCCTTAAACATTTTTCGTTTTATTTTCTATAGCTTTACCCAAAGGAGCCTCGGTGCCATCATTGGGTCTTTCAAACAAGGCTGTTTATAATACTGAAACCCCTTCGGAAACCGAACGCCATGTTAAAGATGAATATCCTGAAAACTATTTTACACCCATCACCTTGGACTCACCACCCCAGGAGGAGACTTTAATGCAAAACACCCTATGGCCTGAAGTTCAAAAACTCTATGGTCATGGTTATGAAATTTATGCTTTGGCCTCATCACCAGATGCCACGCTATTGGCCTCCTCATGTAAATCTACAAATGCTGAACATGCACAAATCATTCTATGGAATACAACTAATTGGAAACAAATACAAAAACTTTCATCCCATCAATTGACAGTTACCCAAATGCGTTTTTCACCCAATGGTCAATATTTGCTATCCGTATCACGTGATCGTAGATGGTCTCTCTTCGAACGTGTACCATCCAGTGATAAAGTAGCCCAGTATCAATTAGCCGCTACAACAGATAAAACAAATGGTGTCCATACACGTATTATTTGGTCCTGTGATTGGTCACATGATAGCAAATATTTTGTAACCTCTTCACGTGAGGGTAAAGTTGTTGTATGGTCCAAGGAAGCTGAAAGTAATACATCGCTAAATGGTTGGAAGAATTTGGATGTTTTGGAATTGAAACAAGAATCAATAACGGCCGTTGCATTTGCCCAGACCCTACACACAAATGGCTCGTATATTGTGGCCATGGGTTGTGAAAGTGGTTTCATTTATATTTATTCCTTTGATGGCAAATGGAAGTTGCTGTTGACCATGAATACATCGTAAGTTTGTTTTTCAAAAGTTTTTTTTTTTAATAATTATTAAAATTTATTTTCTCTTTGCAGACAATCACATCATTTGACAGTAAAACGTTTACAATTTAGACCGGTACCGAGTGCATCAAATCAATATCAATTGGCCAGTTGTGGTGAAGATTGTCTAGTTAGAATATATCGTTTGAATTTGTAAAAATGTAATTTGATTGGGCTTAAAAAGCCCTTGTATGTATTAGTTTTATTGTGTAAATGCTTTATCTCTCCACTTAATTTGATAATAAAATAGAAAGGGATTCTTTTATTATTGTTTGACACTATCTATGAATGTTAGTATCCATGATTTGTATTTGTAATTATTAGATATTGAATACTATATCCAAACCTTCTATCTCTATTCCGAATGTTTGAATCTTAAGCCTATATATGTGAGAAACGTGTCTTTGGATGTGGAAGTAATTGTAATTCGATGTCCAGTCGAGTGGGGTGAAGAACGAACCAGCTGCTGTCGAGTGGGGTTGAAAAATGAGCCCTTTGTTGTGGTTGTAGCAAACCTATTGCTTTTTATACAATGGACTATTGCTTTTACGTTTTGGATCTTAGACCACTGTGTGGTGGAAACGGGCTGTGGAAGTAGTTAGTTGTAAGTCGGTGTATTGTCGGGTGGGGTTGAAAACGATATCTTGGCTGGAACAGAACGGAGTTGGTCATCGTCGCTGCCGTCTGAGGGGTTGAAAAACCGCCAACCGCAGTCCGAAAATTTCGGGCGCCGCCACAGTTGATCGGGTGCGTTCTCGTACATTCTTCGAGCTAACTCCAACCTACGGACCACCCACCTGTTATCGTGCTTAATCTAACTCCAACCTAATAGTAAAAAACGTCGACTGATTAGCCATCCGTTTTGACATATATTTTATCCTGAACACCTCTGCCATACAGCTGATCGATCGTAAAAGTCCTACAGAAACATACATTTTTATGACGACCCTGTCCCCACGTTAAACCTATCCCAGCTTTAAAGTGGCAAAGCACATCGTCACAGTTAATTGGTGCATTTAACAACCAAAGTGACAGTAGTTCGGTTTCTCAGACCGTTTGATGTCCATTTAGGTGAGGTACGTGATCTTGGCTGGGAACCACAAGGAGAATATTTGATGTCGTTTCTGCGATTCAGACAACACGTATACATGCACCATGGCGTTCAGGAGAGAGTGATTCCGAAACATGGCAAGAATTAGCTCGGCCTCAAGTTCATGGCTATGATATGCAGGCATTGGCCTTGCTGTCGCGTTGTAAATTCGCTAGTGGAGGAGCAGAAGAAAATATTGTAAGGAATTTCCAGGCATTTGGCAGTAGTTTGGCACTTCGGTTTCTCAGACCGTGTAATGTCCAGATTTTACGAAACGGAAATATATAAATACCATTTTAAAACAACAAACATATAAAAAAACATTTATTTTACTGCCCCCCATTTTCTCCTCTCTGTTCAATTTTTTTATTTGTTATTTTTTGTTTCATCATCTTCATCTTCTCTTTTCTTTTCAAAATTACACAAATGAATGCACCCATTTCCATGCCCACTTTACACAAACAACAAATAAAATTATTTTAATAATTTGATCCGCCATAAGAAGCATTTGAAAACGTCTACGGGTTGCTGGGGTGGCTTCTTCCGGCTCCTTTAAGATGAATTTTTTCAAGCCCTTCAAGGTACCTGAGAATAAAAAAAATGTATTTTAAGAAGAAGTTCCTCCATGAATTAAACAAAACATACCATCAAATATGTGATGGAAATCCATGTTCATAGCGTCAACATGATAAAAACGGTGACTATAATAATAAAAATAAAAATTATAGTAAACATAACAAGGATAACAGGTTCATATCAAAAAAAAACATTGACTCATACTTACTCTCGATCATTCTCCATGGTAGCATAATATAGATCCCACATTCCCTCATTGTGAAATTCAAAATATTTCTTCGAAAATTTACCCAGTGTTCGCACGGTGTAAATAATTCGCCGGGTCGTCTTCAAAAGACTAAAAGAAATACGAAAAAGGGAATCGTGATAAATCCTGGCAATTTTTCTAATTTTTTTCAGTACTTACATTGGTTTCCTTTTCGCCAAAACAAATATCAAATCATAGATTATGGCCATGGGTATGTGGACCAAAAACAGCCATATTAAATACCAATACATATTTGTTGTCATTCGTGGAGATGGCGCCCAAACAGCATTTTGTATCGGGTTCTTTTTGACAAGTTCCACAATTTTCTTTGTACTCTGTTGTATTGTAAAGTCGTACATTTTTCCCGGGGCAAATGTTTGTATACGCAGCTTTAATGGCGACGATTTGGGTTTACTGTAAAAAAAAATAAATATTTCAAAAAAATCAAAAAATAAAATAAAATTTGATTTCGAATATTACCCACCTCAGTGTTTCCATGCCACAGCGAAAACCACTGCCAATGGTCAGACTTGTTACCAAATCGACAGGAATTAGTGATAAATTTAAATCGGGGTTAACATATGCCATTTGACTAACACCCAAAGACACGGCCGCCAAAATGCCCATAGGACCATTTAAATTATCGAAATATCCTGGTTCTGGTTCCATGTAGGCGGGGGCAACTATCCATGCGCAAATAAATTATTAAATTTGAGATTGAGATTTTATTTTTGTATTTTTTTATTGCCTACCAACTACGGGTCTCAAAATCGTCATCGGCAATACATCGGAATGATCGGCAATTATTTGTTCGGCAAGATTTTTGGTAAAGCTATAGGGATTCGGGAAAAAACCGGTGTATCTAAAAAGGAAAAAATAAACATATTTATAAGTTCATTTAAAAAGAATATGAGCAATTTTTGAATATAAGCATCAAACCCGAAGGCAGCTTTAAAAATCCACGCCTATTCTAGGGCATCGAAAAAATATTTTTTAAAAATTCAAGCCTATTTTAGGGCATTGAACAAATATTCTTTAAAAATTCATTAGAAAAATATTTGAAAATCCACGCCTCTTGAAAAAATATTATTTTTTAGTAGAATCCTTATGTAGTAAGCAAAGTACTTCCGAACGACCGATATGTGATAAAAGATATTGAAAACTGCCAGATCACACAAATACCTTACGAAGGAGTAATTGAAGCCTGCAATATAAGGCATAGGAAATCTGAAGACTCAGTTAGGGGCACCTAGGGCCGCTCTTACCAATATTAAATTGTATTATATTGTATATAGTAGAATATAAGTAGTATAATTTAGTATGGTGACCTTTTTTATAGGCCATGGCCGTCATGGCTGGCAGATATGTAGTAGATATTTTTAGATTGACATCAAAATACAACCATGTAATATATTACCGACTATCAATTAGATCATAAGATTCAAATCATGATGCAATCTTGGTGACCATGGCCTATGTAATACCAACAAAAACCTTTGATTTTACCTCTCAAGTTTGCTGTCAAAAATTTTCCATATAATATTTGAAATGGAAATTTTTGACAGCACTGAAAAAAAAAGCTGTTTTCGATTGCTATCTTGGTGACCTTATTAATAGATCTTGGCCGAGATGTAGTAGATATTTTTAGATTGACATCAAAATACAACCATGTAATAGATTACCGTTTATCAATTAGATCATAAGATTCAAATGTAACGAAGAAAGAGTGATGAAATAAAAAGAAGACACCATTCTAGTGAATGCGGTCAAAGAGATAACACTTTAAAAAACTCACTTCAATCTTAAAATTTCCAATGTTTCAACATCATAAGTTTCCGCCAACTTAATTGCCGTACGCCAATCTGTAGGCAGTTTATAAATCTGTAAAATAAAATTTCTCAAAATTAATTTCCAAAAATAAAAAATAATAATAAAAAGAATATTCACCCACCTTCTCTTCAATTTCATGACCAAATGGATAAATATATGCCGTGGAACAGTGAATGAAAGCGATTAAGTGCTTAAGGGTTTGGGCAATTTTCACCAATTCATAAGTTCCTCGGGTATTCATTAAAATCGAACTGCGTAAATCATTATCAAATCTAATGGGATATTTAATATTTAATTTATTATTTCAATATTTTTGAAATCATAATTTTACAAAAAGGTGTATTTACTTAACAAATGCCGCTTCGTGAAATATAATGCTGACATTTTTCAAACGATTCAAATCCTCTTGACTGATACCCAATCCAATTTCTGAACATTCACCAACAATTGGTACGATCTTATCTAAAACGCTTGGTTGGTCACGACGCAAACGAGCAAACACCGGATCATTTTTGTAATCCACTAAACGTTCCATAGCGGTTTTACCCCGTTTCGGCCGAATTAGCATATACATCGTTTTGATGCCGGGACAATCGCGTAGCAGTTTTTCAATGAGACTTTTACCAAGGAAACCTTAAATATGCAATTTTTATTATTTTTATAAAACTTTATTAAAATATCAAGTATTACCTGTTCCTCCGGTAATGAATAGTTCCCGTTTACTGTAAAACTCGTCAATATACATGATTGGAATTTGTTGGGATTTTTTCTTGTATAATCTGAAGATATCAAAGAATATGTTATTTGTATTAAAAAAATATTCTTTAAACAGCCACGGCTATTGATCTTAAAGCAATCCATCCCTATTTTAGGTCTATAAAAATGATCTTAAAACAATCCATGCCTATTTTGGGTATCTAAAAATGATCTTAAAACAATCAATGCCTATTTTGGGTCTCTAAAAATCATCTTAAAATAATCCATCCCAAGACGAAACAGCATTTTTTTTACAATGGAACAAATTAGAAATGTGTGCTTTCATTGTAAAAAATTTGCGGATGCATCTTTTTTGAACACGTGTTTCTATATAAAGTAGTTGCCAGATCGAAACAAACTTTAACATGTGTTCATAACTGAGATGGAAGTGTCCAAAGGACTTAACTTTTTTTCTGTTTATACCGGGATTTTCGTGCTAGGCTAAGAACTTTCCGAACTGCCCCCGTAGGCATTCAAAAATGTTTTTTTTAATCCATTCCTATTTTATGTCTCTAAAAACATTCTTTAAATAAATATAATAAAAAAACACCTGAAAAATATTCTTTAAAAATGCACGCCTATTTTAGATATTGGAAACATAGTGTTTAAAAGATTGACGTCTATTTTAGACTTTTGAAAAAAAATTGAGTTAGGCCTTGAAAAATATTCTTTAAAAAAATGCAATCCTAAGTTATGACTTGTAAAAATATTATTTTAAATATTCTCGACTATTTTAGGTTTTTAAAAATATTATTTTTTTTAAATCAGGACCCTGAAAATTGTATTTAAACCTTTAGACTTTGAAAAATATTCTTTATATAGGCATTGAAAACTCATTCTTTAAAAAATCCACACACAAATATACAATTTAAAGTCCTAGTCCTCAAAAACAATGTTCTTTAAAAAAATCCTTGCTCATAGAGTGCTTAAAAAAATTATTTGAATAATAATCGTATTATATATTTTCAAATCTTAAATTACATTCATTACGCCTATGTCTACGAAATAGTCCATTGGCCATAGTTCAAATGTAATTTAACAATAATAACATTGAAATGTGCATTAAATATTCGAATTGATTATTTTTCAAGCCATGCCTTAGTAAATATTAATATTTATTATTCTTATGGAAATTATTTATAATGAGAGAAATATGAGCTATTTCTTGTATATTTGATAAGTTTATAAAAATATGCCTAATATATATTTGAATAGTTGATTAAATATTCCAATTAATATTCTATATTCTTATTGAGTATTTTCTTTTTAACCAAGTCATTGTTGTTCAATATTAATAGAAATCAGTCGAAATCGAATGGAGGATTTTTTCTTTAACACAGATCGTCCTTTATTTTCTAATCCGAGTGCATCTTTTCGTCTTATTTTTCTACCCAATTAAAAAAAAATGTACAGAAAATCCCCAAAATACCGATCTTTATATCGGGGCTAACCTAAAAGGTATTAAATATTGATAGTATTCACTGAGAATACCAACTACTAAACTACAGTGCCTAAAATACCGAATATTTCCATATATATTATTTTTTGTCTTCTTATTTATTTTATATCATTGCAAATAAACCCGGTTGGTCATAGTTCCTACCAGTTCAGAGTGTTGTACCTCAACACAACTTTTCTTTATTTTATTTTTTTCCTATTAGATTTAAGCTTATTAATGCAACTCTTATTACACACACATCCCTACAAACAAATGAATTTAAAATATAGCTAAAACCAAGGCCTATAGATAAGGTCATCCTGGGAGATCAGCTGGATATCAGCAGCCATTGAAGTTTGCTGTCAAAATTCATTATTGTGAATTGACTTCCATTATGAAAACGTAAACAAAGTTCAAATTTTTGATATTAGACTTGAGAAAAAAACAGCTGTTTTCCGATATCGATTGCTACCTGGGTGGCCTTATTAATAGATCTTGCTAAAACACTGTACATACCATGGCCTATAAATAAGGTCACCAAGGGAGACCAGCTGATTATCGATACCTCTCAAGTTTGCTGTCAAAATGCATTATTGTGAATTGGCTTCCATTATGAAAACGTAAACAAAGTCGAAATTTTTGACATTAGACTTGAGAAAAAACAGCTGTTTTCCGATTTCGATTGCTATCTTGGTGACCTTATTTATAGGCCATGGTACATACATTTATGAATCATATCGAACTCTTAAGAATATTATCGATAACGATAAAACAATTTTGTAACCCAGAAAGGGTATAAGAGAGCGAAGAAAATACAAGCAGTCGCTCATATCACAACCTCCATTCAAACACGATACATAGTATCCACCTGATAATATTTCGTAGAGTAGTAATAAAGTGTGAATTTCAAAATAACCAAATCCTCGTTATTATTTATGAACGTTACATTGGCGCCCAAAGCGGGGTCTGGTACAGTGACTCCCAACGAGAGAACCTTGTTACATTGGCGCCCAACGCGGGGCCTGGTACAGTGACTCCCAACGAGGACGTTGTTTCATTAACTCCCAACGTGGAGCCCGTTTCAGTGACTCCCAACGAGGACCTTGTTTCATTAACGCCCAACGTGTAGCCCGTTTCAATGACTCCAGACGAGATGACCTTGTTACAAGCTTTATAATTACACTTATTTGTTCATTATATTCTGATTCGAACTCATTCACGGACTCGTATATCCTTGGGGAAAATGATGTCTCCTTTTTATTTTTTAAATTATTATAAATTTAAACTTTTTTTGAAAAAAAAATTAAACCCGATAAATCTCTTGTAATAATGTTGAATATTCTTCATTCTTCGCGTGTCCTTTTTTGGTTTAAACCAATTAATTACATATTTCATGTTTAAATTCTTAAACACATATTCCTCAGGTTGTCAAATTATTTGTTCATCCTTTTTTCACCATTTTCATATAAAATTTGGTTATAATTGTGTTTTTTTTTTAAATATTTTTATGTTATTTTAATTAATTTTAAATAACAAATAAACCATTGAATACTGTCCACTTGAAGAATTTACGAGTACAATGAGATATTTAGTTACAATATCCTTTGTTATCCTTTATGTTAGTTTTCGAGCGATTGTTAGTTGTATTATTCTTAATATTCCTTTTGAGAAACTTTTGTTTATCCTTAGATCCTATTGATAAACATTCCTTTTTTTATAAACATTCCTTTTATATCCTTATTATTAGTATTGAACACTTTCCTTTTATTTAATAAATATTCGACAGATGCTACGAATTTTCACAACCGCATTGGTCCGATGACCATTACAAACTGATTGTCCATAGCACCGAGTTCTAAACTAAACAACTATATTGGAAAAATGAATTCAAAATAAAATATGAATAAATATTTTCTGAATATTTGAATAAAATTTGCCGTACAGCATGACCAATGTTGCAAAAAAAAAAAAAAATAAATAATAATAATAAAGAAAAGTGATGTAATGCGGGGTATAATTAATATTAATGTAAAGTTTTTCTCATAAAGACTAAACTGGAAATGCCAACCTCTCGTCTAGAATAGCTATAGACGAGAGGTTAATTATACCCCGCATTACATCACTTTTCTTTATTATTATTATTTTTTTTTTGCAACATTGGCAAATTTTATTCAAATATTCAGAAAATATTTATTCATATTTTATTTGAATTATTTTTGCAACGTTACGCATGCCAAAGTTATGAGGAATTTAAAATTCTGTTTTTTTGTAAATTTGGCTGCACTGGAAAACACTTGTCGTCAGCGCCATCTATTGCATCTGTAGATCCGAAAACCGTTTAAGCAAAATTTAAACTCTATTTGTTCATCTGTTAAATTTACAGCACTGGTAAATATTTGGCGTCAGCGCCATCTATTGAATCGGTAGACTAAAAAATGGATTATCGAAAATTTAAACCTAATATGTTTTTCCTATAACTTTATATTAGATATTTAAATGAAATTGGTGTATATGGAAGTTATGATTGTATACTTTTTGTGAACTAAGAAAGTATGTATTGAAGTTTTCGCTAATTTCTCTCTGTAATAGTTGTGTTTTAAAAATGATTTGGTTTGTCATAGCAAAGTAGACTATTAACGCTTGCATTAGATACCAGTTTTGTTGAAAAGTTATTTGCTTCGAAAGTTCGACTCGAAAAAAACTGATGTGGCTGATTTGAATCATGTCCATCAATAGATGGCGCTGATGACGCGATCTTGCATATGCATTACCTCATTTCTTTTCGTCATAACTTTTTTCGTATTGCTGATATTAAAATAAAAGTGGTGTCATATGAAAGGTACAACTGTGTGCATTATTGTGAAATATAGTGCGTTTACATTGTGCCGGGTTACGTTAACCCAGTGGGTCTACATTGTCAGTTCCTTTGAATATATGACAAATAAATAGTCATAAAGTAGATTAACCTGGCAAAAAGTTCTAATGTAAATGTAGTTTAAATATATTTATAAAACGCCATGTTATTGAATATGAAGTTATGTTTTTTCAACTTTCTGTTAGTGCTGTAAAACCTTATGAAATCCGTGTACAAAGAAGATATTATGAGCTAAAAATATCAATTTGATTTGTTTCTGTATTGTTACGCGATCAAAAGTTATGAAGAAGAATCACAGAAAACTGTAAATTTCTGTCAATATGGCAACCCTGTCAAACAATATTTGATGCTGTCGTATAGAGTGTGTTATAAACTATTAATTCTATTCGAATAATTTCTGTATCAAATACCAATGATTTTCTTCAAAATTTAGCAGCACTGACAAAAAACATGTCGTCAGCGACATCTATTGACAGAATAGATTCAAGAATCTATTATCCAAAATGTAAACCTCATTTTTTTCCTATAACTTTATACCTTCTGTAGTTATTTAAATAAAATTGGTGTCATATGAATTTCAATTCATACTTTTAAAACCTATGAATACGAAATGTAATATTAAATATATATATAGTAAAGTAGACTATTTACTCTTTTATATGACGCCATTTTGGTT